CTCCAGTTACAATCTAAAATACAGAAACACGGTAGCACCATCGTATTAATATAAACTTAACCGTGTAGGACGTAATATATCTCCGAAAAGTTTTTCATTAGCTTGCCAATTTATCTAGGGAGTGCGGGTGTGTGTGTGTGCGTATTTGTGTTGCCCTAACCAGGACCTGCATCCATACGCTGAAATCAAATAATTAGAAAACGAATTCGACTATTCACAGTATCTTGGTATTAAAATATAATATTTGAAATAGTGTTTTTTTTTCGAATTCTCATAATGATTTACTCACCTCACCCCACCTTCGCCTTTTGAAAACAAATTGTGATCTGATGTTGGAAAGAAATTTTTACAATTTTATGCTGTTCGCTTCTTTTCTTTTTCCAACAACACTTTTCGTACATATTAAAACAAACCGATGTGCTCTGTTTCATTTATGCCTGTTTTTCTCCTTTTTTTGTTTTTGTTTTAATTTCGTTTCTCAAGCATGCATCCTATTGAGGAGGGCTGTGTGCACAATAGCAACGAAGAATTCATCATGAAAGCAAACAATGAGGTAAAGCAACAATGAAAATCATCCAAAACTGACTAAAACAAGACGTTTCACAAAGCCTTTGTGTACAACTATTCTAAAAAGAAATAAAGGAGCTATGAGATGGCACGATAGCTGAACACTAATAGTTATGAGATGGAACCGACTGGTGGAATAGAGAGAGAAAGAAAAAGCACATATTTTGTTGCTTTTTGGGTGTGGGGTGTGGGTGTAGCGAAGACTCACGCCCAGACAAAGTATCTAGAAATTCAAACCAAATACTTTAATGCGTCTTAATATAGTTGCTGTTGTCAAAAGAATGTTCGAAAAGCATTTGAAGTCATATACTTTCTCAAGAGCTGTTTTTTTGCTTTTGTCTGATCTTTTCAACAAAACAGCATGAAAGGTTGCTTGTCTGATTGTTTAGCTTGTTATTGTGGATAAAGGTGGTTTGGGGTCGGATAGGATATCTATTTTAGAATGTGTATAACAAATTGATAGAATGAGTACAATATTTATTTCACTATAAATGACCCCTACAGATGAATTGAAATTAAATTGAAAGACAAAAATAGAGCGAGAGAAAAATAAATAGTAAGTAAAAGTAAATAAACACGATTTGAAAATCAAATTAATGAAACTAATAGATGTCTGGACAATTATTCCAATTTCGTTGCCAATATTTATCGTTTGAGAGCCATATTTCATTTCCGGTTACTTTATGTTTAACTAGACTAAACCATCTAATAAATTGAAAACAGAAACAAAATACTCATCATAGAATTGATGTGATTGAAAAAATATACCTTGGTTCCCATTTTTCTTGACTACTTTCCATCGCTCTTCTGGTCGCACGTTGTTTCTCTTCTAGACGATTTTTTTCTTGCGCAGCTTGGTCAATATTACCTTCTTCCAGCCTACGAATATCAGGACGAAATCGACAATCTGTCGGTGGCAATCGTGGGCGTAGTCTCTTATCTTTCTCTGTCCATTCATTAAGTGCCATTGTAAATAATGAAAAATTGTAATACTATTAAAAAAAGATATATTTATATTTATTTTTCAAAGAAATTCTTCAATCTTTACTTGAGCTGCATAATCTAGTCTCGGTGTTGTTCGCCAAAGAGTTATTGAATCAGCTGGAAGATTAAGTAGTTCATGTGTTGGATCAACAACGGGCACTTCTTCTTCCTCTACATTATTAATATCTATTGCTGCTGTTGATTTTGCAAGTTGTTCTTGAGGTGTTATCACAGCACTTGTCCCATTCTTTTGTTGTTGTTTTAAAAATGCTTCAAATTGTTCGATATCAATTGAAAATAATGCGTCTGTCCAATAGCCATACAAGCCACGCAGTTTACGGTCACTAAGCACAAATATACGAAACTACATACATAATATCATGATAATGAATATATCTTACTCGGCACCAATAATATAACCTTCCAATTTATGTAATTCTTTTGTTGATGATGAATATGGTTTAAAATGAATGATAGCTTTCATTTTATTCGAATGATTTATTATTTCCATCGTACCATGCTATAATATTCAAGATTTATTTATTTTGAAATTAACCACTTAATTAGCTTACATATTCAAACCAGAGTTTGCCAACAACAATATTATGAACTGTACAAGTTACACTTGACCACGTATACGTTTCTTTATGTCTTCAGCGAAAAAAAAACAAATGTATAGTATTTGAAGTCTACAGAGGAGAGCTAAAAATCAATTTGTGAAGAAAACCAGCTTAAAAAAGTGCAATACTCTCGTACTTTTGGATAGTACAAACAACTACATATCTGTTTCTATCGTAATGGGATATCAAAAAAGGAAATTTTTTACCTATTAAGCTCAAGTACTAATGATCCTTTTGGATCTATTTGCATTGATGTCATTGAAAATCTAGCGTCTGGTAGAATACTTCCATAATATTTCCATTGGTTGCCACCATCTTTTGGTTCACATATAAATGCAGTTATAGGTGGATGATGGCTAACTTGTTCACTTGTATAACGAAATGGTAAGTCATGACTATATTTAATTTGAAAACGAAACAAGTGATCGATAAACAAAAAGAATCACTAGTTTACTCACTGAACAAATTCGTACGTTTCGCCAAGCAATGGATTGAACGGTTTTGCTATACGATCAAGATTACTCGAAAACGTTGATGCAGCAAATGCAGCAACACACTTTCGAAATAAAAGTAAAATATTTGAATCATTTCTTATGAGCATTGAAATCTAAGACAACGAGTTTATGCCACATTAAACGGCCCCGTCAACCGTTTCAGATGATTTCTCCATCAAATTCTATTCCTCACAACATGAGCAAATATTTTCATTAAGTGACAGTTCGAATTAGAAATTAGATATCGACTCGTTTCTCATTTTAAACTATTACCTGCATTCGCACTATGGGATCAATAGATTCATCAGCTTTATCAAGTAAATATGCGTATTGAACACATTCCGCAAAACGTTGTAGCATTGAAAGAGGTTCATTAAAGACAACTGGCATGGTCATTCTATACAGTTCCTGAAATTCAAAAATTATTACGGATTCAATTGTTTTCTCTTATAATATTTACCTTTCCGATGCATTGTTTAAGCATACTCCACACACCTATCTGTGATCGATCAACCGTTTGTGCAGGAAGTTTAGTTCTAAATTAAAATTGTTCACAGTAACTTGAACACTACTGAAAGAGAAAAGTTCTCTGCTTGATTAATTACATTTGAATCAAAAAGTAGAACCGTGTGATCTATTTCGTAGACGAAGAAAACACTGAAAATTCTTCAGAGATTTTCTTGACTTCTCTTTCGGACAGAGGCAGCTAAAACTAGTCTATATCACCGAATTTACACGAATATTCAAAGTAGTGTGTCTAATCAATAGACATACTTTAGAATATCCTTAGACCTCATGTTGATAGTTTCTGTATTAGACTATTGAATAAGAGAGTTAGAGAGATACTTACCGGCCGTATTTTTTTTTTGCAATATCATTCCAACTTTTCACTAAATCTCGATGAATACCAACAACATACTGATTGGTATCTATGAAATAAAATAAGACAATTTGTTTAAAGAAATTGAGAGAGAATTTTGACCATCTATACCCTAATCAGGGAGTACACCGTAAAGAAAATTCTATTCATTTTTAAATAGCTCCGAAAAGTTTCCACAAATAATATGATTGAAATACCTTCAGCATCGAAGAATTCATCGCTATCATCGGCACCACTATCGCTTGCCATTTTTGTATTGATAATTTTTTTAAAAATGCAGTAAATCTAGAATATGAAGACATTTGCTTTAGATACATATATAATTATTCACTCTCGTTTCGTTTGAATATTACAAATGTGTATTATTCTTCTTAAGCGACACGATATAAATTCGTTGATCAAGCGTAACGAATAAAATGCACAGTTCATGTGCTCGAATAAAATTATATTTGATACTAGACAATTAGCACATCGAAGATAGTGAAGATTTTAAAAAAAAAGATAAATCCTTTTCCTCTCTCTGAAATGGTACAAAAACATGAGAAACAACAAGTAGAAGTAATGCCGAATATTTCATCATTGTTAATAATAATCGGATGATACAATCGAAAAATTGATTTTAATGTTTCTTTTTTCTTCTTTTCTCTATGTTCCAATTATTTTTCATCATCATTTCATAAATGTTTGCTTTCATGCTTCAAACAGTATTCTTCCTTGGAAAATTTTCTAGTTCTATACATGTATGATAGTTTAGCTAATGATAAATCGAACTCGAAATAAGAGGATTAAATATTCATCGTGCGAGATTATTACTTCTTTAATTCCAATAAGACTTTCAGCAACTACTATCACATCAGGAAGCCTACTATGCCATAGTAATTCATGAGAAAGATGGCGCTTTACTTTTAATTTTATATCGCTATTATTAAAACGGGTTTTATTTGCTTGAGACGATAACCAATATAATAACTGATGATGATTTTAATGAATCATTAATATATTTTCCAAATACAAAATGAATATAAAATTAAATTTCATTTAAAGATATTCTATTCAATAAATGAGATGAAAATAAAGTCTAACTATGGGTAGTGGATCTACGAAAATCTTATCATTTGATGAAGCTTCAAAACGATGTATGTAAAATTTGTTCGGAAGCAAAAGAAATAATTACTTCAAATTTTTTTGTTTCTATTGGTCTTTGTTTAGTATCTCAAACTGACTTGGATCGTATTGAAACAGCATTTCGTGAACTAACTACTGGAACAAATGAACTTAATTATACGAATTTTAAACGAGATATATTTGCTAATTTTCTACCTGAAAAGTTAGCCAATGTATGTAATTTATCTTGCATAGTTTATTGATTTTGTTGTTGAAAATTGTTTAGCGTCTTTTTCAACTATTTGTGGGTTCATCTCGAATCGGTTTATCTTATAGAGATCTCATCTGCTGTTTGGGTTTGATCTATTATGGTTCACAGAAAGAACGCATGCAACGTAAATCTAAAAACAAAATAAATAACTACTAATCGCACTTGTCTATTTAGTTCTCTATGCAATCTTCACTCAAACTGGAACGTTACGTTGGTATGATGTTGAAGAATTTCTTCGTCTATGTGGTGATCAATTACCTCAAGAACTTGAATATTTCTTTCAAAAAGATCAAATAGTAACACAAGAAAAGTTTCTTCAGTGGTTAGAACGTAGCCAAGGTCATACAACAACAATAGTCGATTGGCTTACGGATGAACAACGTTTACATGAATTATTGACATATACAAATGATAGAATATATGACCAATATTCCATACTCGCCGGTGTAACACATTGTACGTAAGTGAAGAAATGTTTAGGGTATCCATCTCTTTTCTCAGTCATTGTTATTTCTCGTAAAACAAAGGAACTTGAGATGCTCAGATTACGCTAGACCGACGTTACAGATGTGTTGGATATGATGCTATGAAGATACCGAGTTTTTCTTATTTGTCTTGAACATACGCCTCGTTAATTTATTTTCGCATAGCTTCAGTAAAGATCCCAGGTGAATTGATTGTACTCTCTCTTTGAAAGCCAGAGAAAGAGAAGGATACTCTAAAATTGCCATCTTATAACCTTGTTTACTTTCACAGTATCAGAAAGAGAAATCAAAGAATTAGAACAAACTTATCATCAATTCTATACGTGGAATAATAATAAACAACAACAAATAACATCACAGATATTTTCTACTATATTTTCACCTGTTCTACCATCGATATTAATACCAGCAATTTTTGAAGCTTTCGATGAAAATCGTGATGGTATGTTTAATTTAAAAATTGACCAATAATTCATCTGTTATTTTTCTTACAGGATCGATTGATTTTAAAGAATTTGCTTGTGGAATTAGTGCTGCTTGTCGAGGTCCACAAATTGAAAGATATAAATGTAAGTCAAATAATTTATTTCACTGTTGGCTGTTTATTAATGATATAAATATGTATAAAAAATGCATCCGATTTACTTAATATATACTTAGAATAGTATTGAAAGAAACCCGTAGTTTCGAGTTTTTATTTTGAATCGTTATTTCCTTGGAATAAGCTAAATTTTATTTCAAATAGTTCTCTTTCGTGTATTCGATCGTGATCATGATGGTGTGCTCAGTCATTCTGATATTATTTTCATGACACCATGTCTCATTGAAGTTGCTCAATTTGTTTATGTATCGAATGAACATATAAAAACGTCGCGTGAATTATATGCTAATATGATTGCAAATGAACATGAATCAGTTCTATTGAAACCAGAAGATTTTCTACTATGGTGTCAAAAAGATAGATTAGTTATCGAACTAGTCGATCTTATTTTTCAAATCTGTCATGTTGTACTTGGATTACGACCATCATCACAACAAGATGAATTAAATATTGCAAAGTACGTCTTTAAAACTTACAAAAACAAATTTACTAATTTCATATTTTTACTTCGAGTCATTTTCTTCGACGCGAAAAATGCCCATTCAATGAATCAGAAACAGTATCGAATCGTTTAACATCCAAACCGGGTTCATCGTGGTTTCTTATTTCAATGGATTGGTGGTTTAAATGGGAATCACAATGTTCCTCTTCGATTGTCAATAGTAATGAATTGAAAACAAAAGCAAACTCGTCTATAAAATCCAATAAAATTGATAATAGGTAAATTCAAATATTCTTTTTCTTCTTGTATTAATCATATATTTATTTAAGATTCGAACTTGGTGATATTGATAATAGTTCATTGGTAGAAAAAATTATTTCAAATGATTGTGTTCAACTTAAACCAGGCCTTCGTCATGGAATTCATTTCGAAATGATACCGGAATTATTATGGATATTTTTACGTAAATATTATCGTTGCATTGGACCTATTGTATGTCGAAAAGTCACATACAGAAAAAATCTTAATAAACCTGAACTTGATCTTTATCCAGTAAGTTTTCTCGTTTTAATTTCATCGATTATCTATTTTCTTGAATTAAAAGTTAATCATCAGAATTTATTGCAATCGCACTCTTTCAACACAACAAATCGAAGCAATCGCAGCAAATAAAAATAGTAGTAATTCTACGCATTTCGCTTATCCCTTGTTGAACTTTGTTTCGGCGAGCATGTTCGGTAGGAAAATAGAATTTTTGTTGTTGACTGTTTTTTATTTAAAATTCTCATAGGTTCAACGAATGCTCCAACATCAGTGGCATTAAATACGCCTCGGCATTATTTAGCTTGTTCCTATTTTGTTAGTCAATATCAAACAGTTCGATCTCTTGCTGAAGAACTTTCAATTAAGTTTGGAAAACCTTTGGATGAAATAAGATTATGGGCTAGGCCTAATGAAGTAAGTAATCGATTACGAATTGATTTGTTCGAAATATTGGATAATCGCTTTGTGACTGAGAGAAAATTTGTTGCCTTTTTCGGAGATACTTTTTTTCTTATGTAAACATCATTGCTTGTCTTCGAATTTATTTGAAAAAAGGATTGCATGTAAAAGAAAGTAATGCATTTGTCTTTGAGACAATAAACATTTATGCTATACTAGAATCTGGACAACGTATGATAGTACCGATTGTGGCAAACTGCTTGTCAGATCAATCTTATGTTTTATTAGGTGAGCTACGAAAATCGAGCAGAATTTATCCATTTAGAAAAATAATTTTTGTTGCTGACGGAATAGACTAGATAGACTCATCTCAAAATAGATTCTACTATTTGACGAGGTCCGTTCGTAAATGAAAAGGGTATATTGTATTCTTGCGTAAATATTTAAGCATTATTCCAGATCAATTGAATTGATTATTTTTAATTCTAGAATGATCTTCGACAAATAGATTTTGAATCGATCGATGAGATAACATGTCAAGAAGCAGGTTTCAATCAAAACAGTGAAATTTTATTAGAAATCCGTAATAATGATTTAACATGGCCTGAAGAACTCTATACATTAGCAACACGTTCAAAAGCATTGGCAGTATCAACATTATCGATAAACAGTTCAATAGGAAATGTTGAAGAAGAAGGACGTGGTCAAATAGGTCTATCGAATTTAGGCAATACCTGTTTCCTGAATGCTGCTGTACAATGTCTTAGTCATTCGTTTCCATTAACATTTTATTTTCTTCATAAATATCATCTGTTCGAAATAAACAAGTAATGAGTAGTCATCAAAAGATATTACGTTGCTCTTTGAATAAACAAAATTTTCTCTAGAGATAATCCAATTGGCATGCAAGGAAACATAGCTTTACGTTATGGACAATTGATTGCTAAACTTTGGGGAAACGTTCGTGGACCATTGGCACCATTTGAATTAAGAGTTTGTGTTAAATATTTATTTGTTTAGTAACAAAATGAATATGGTTTTTCTTTTTAACCAGGGCTCAGTTGCAAAATTTGGTTCGTCACGTTTTACTGATTTTCAACAGCATGATTCACAAGAATTTCTTTCGTTTTTACTCGATGGTCTACATGAAGATCTTAATCGTGTTCACGATAAACCTTATGTTGAACTTAAAGATAGCGATGATAGACCAGATGAAGATGTAAATATTCGCTTTCGTTTCTTTTTCAAAGAATCTATTTGATTTGAATAGGTCGCACATGAACATTGGTCGAACCATATAGCACGAAACTCATCGATTATTGTTGATCTATTTCATGGTTTACTTCGTTCACAAGTTAAATGTCGAATATGTGAATTTAAAAGTGTTCGATTCGATCCATTTAATGTTCTTTCATTACCATTACCAATAGATACGTCGATTTACATTGACGCCAAATGTATGTAAAAATAGAAATTCTGATGTATAATGAAATATTGTCCATCGCCTCCGGCATTCCGAATAGAAAACTCAACAAATAAGAATATTGAGAGAAAAAAAACTTTGAGTTTGGACTTTTCATACCTCACTAGACTTTGCCTAACGAAAAATTCAAATTCCAGAACTCTTGGATAGTTGAAAAACTTCAATATATTTATGAGTTAAGTTGGAATTCTTTGTTTTTCTCTAGTGGTGCTACTTAATGGTTTAAAACCGATTCGGTATGGTATGAAACTTGATGGTGAATTAACTGTTGATCATATCAAAAAACAATTATCTATTCTATCATCATTATCCATTGAACAGATTGGATTTTTCGATGTAACACATCCATCAAGTCTTCGTCGTTATACATTAATGGATTATAGTCAAACAAAAATAAAACAATTGAATGTTCGCGATTTTGTTGCCTATGAATTACCATTAACAAAATCAACTGATAATAATAATTCGTCATCAATTCCATTTATTATAGCTATACATCGTCGACTGGAACGTCAGGATCGTTATTTATCACCTTTGACTCGACAAAAAATTCTATTCTTTGGCCAACCAATAATTATCCCCTATGATGAAAATGAATCGACTAAAATAACAAATAAATCAATCTATGAAAATGTTTCGAAACAATTAGAGCGTCTATTAAGAAAAAATACAGATCTCTCCTATGTATCAAACCATGCACTTGATTGTGATGATTCACTTGGTGAACGCTATCCATTTATATTAAAACATGTTACTGAAGATGGAAAAAAATGTTCAATCTGTCCATGGAATCGGTACATATTGTTCTTTAAAAAAAAAAGATCTATTGGTCACATACCGAGGAGTGAAATTTTTTTTTTAGTTTTTGTACTGGCTGTTTGTTTGAATCGAATACTAATGAGTTTTTACGTACACGTGGAAATCTTGCTATTGAATGGGAATCATCTGCTTACTATCTTCGATATTTATCTGGACGTGAACAAGTAAGTTACATGATTATTGGACGCTTTTCTTTTTACATGAAAATTTATTTTCTAGGATGTTGAAATTCATCCAAGTGTAAAATTATCTCGAACATTGAATAATAATGATGCGAATACTGATGAACCATCATCGATAATTACACTTGAAGATTGTCTACAATCATTTACTAATTGGGAAAATCTTGAAAATAAAGAAATGTTCAATTGTAAACGATGTAAAAAATTACAACCAGCTGATAAAAAACTTGATATTTGGAAATTGCCACCATGTTTGGTAAGCTATTTAATCGTTGTATGAGTCATGAAAAATATCCTTAAAATGAATTTTCATTTGATTTTACTTAGATTTTCCATATAAAACGTTTTCAACTATCGAATAATCGTTGGATTAAATCATCACGACCCGTTCGCTTTCCTATTCGTTCATTTCAACCATCAAAATATCTCCCGACACGCTCATCGACGACTAACTCATCGTCTATGTCTCCTGTCGATGATAATCTAAGTAATTCATCGTCTTCGTTATCATCACTAATAACCCAGCCATCAGATATGATGTCATCATCGTCGTCGTCTTGTCTAACTCATGAAAACAATTCTCATGATTCAACTATTCGATTACCGCCACCTGAATCGTCCGATGAATCTTTAAAAAAACCTAAAACTGGATTTGGACGACGAAAAAATAAAAATAAAAACGAAAATCCAAATGATAAAGTTAATATTCCATGTCCACCAAAATTCAATCAAACGAACGATCAAATAATTTGTTCTGCTGATAATAATTTTGATCCTGATAATACTACTTATAATCTTTATGCATTTGTCGTAAGATCTCAATTGTTCTGTAGATAGATATGAATCTATTTTTTATTTTTATAGTGTCACTATGGATTCATCGGTGGCGGTCATTACGTTTCCTTCGTTAAAAATCATATAAATCAGCAATGGTATTGTTTTAATGATAGTTCATGCAAGGTATTTTGCTTTTCTTACAAAGAAAATAATTGATGCCTCAAGAAATCTATATCAAAATGATTTTTCTTGCACGCGTTTTCGCCAGAGAATGTTTGAATAGAATTTTATGGAAAAACAAAATCTACTCGATTTAATGTCTTCTTTATTTTCTAGCCCGTTTCAGAAAGTATTCTTGAACAATGTTCATCGTCAGCTTATTTATTATTTTATCAACGGGAATGCCTTGATCATCGTTGTTATATGCCGAATGTTGAAGGTAAAAACCAAGTAGCAAACGAACTTTCATTAACAGGTGATGATCGTTGGTGTTCGTTAATGTGATTTCATAAGAACTCGAATCTTAAAAATTGTGATTAGATTTTGTTCTCTCTATATATATGTATTTCTTTTTCCGGTGCTTTTTCTGTTGTGTAATCAAAACAAACATGTATAAAAAAATACCTCTTAAAAACTCTTATACTGCAATTAAAACCGTACTTGATGGACTATGAAAATAGCGGAAAGTTAAAAAAAAAACTTTTTTCTCGTTTCGCTGTTTTAACTTTTAAAGAAAAGATAAATAAAATATGCTTTTGATTTTTTTGTGCAAGTCGTTAGTTTTTATTTATATTGTATCCAGATGGTTTTAAAAACGTGATAGACAAAATGACAATTTTTTTCAACTATCATATTAAAGAACAACGAGAAGTTCATACTTTGCCTACGTTGAAATTGTTGTTAACATACAACATGGATGCTGTGAATCAGGTTACAGAAACAATTATTTGTTATTAGGACATTAGTGTATTCAGTTCGTCTTGACATGATAGTATCTCTCCAATAGATACTGTTTTTGTATAGTTTATATTTCGATTATGCACAATCAATTGATTATCAATCGGAATGGCTTTAGGCGTAATTTTTGACTTAGAGTCATTATAACAGACACAAATTCTGTTACGTTTTAACAAATTATATTTATTTCTAAGGTCTAGTTAAAACAAATCTTTTATGCATAGTCTAAGCACATATTATGCTAGATGTAAGTTACTTGAGAAAATGTGCATTTATTATACAATCGTTGAAGCTACTGTCCATCGGCGTTCTATTGTGGTGATTGCATTATTTGTTCAAATCCACTGGGCAATGTCGACAGCGCATCGAATAACCCAGATTATAATAATGTAAGAAGACAGATCGGCTAGTCGGCAATCTGTTTTAAAAATTCAAGCAAAGTGCCAGACAGCTAACGACAATTCTATTTTTGCACTCTAGTGGACCTATCAAACAAGTTTATTTGTACTGCATTCATGCACTCAATAAATCATTATCAAGCGAGCTAGCTGATTGTGAAATTAACTTCCGCTATTCAAATGAAACCAGCCTATTTCACAGTGAGCTCATTTCCTACATGCAGTAAATAACTAAACTAATTAATGCAAAAAATGATCGACATGTACGAATGGCACCAGTGAGACAGTATCTGTCCATTCTAATTAACCATATTACACACCAACGTTACGCAACCGAAAATTGTTTGTAAGTCATCATTCTATCGGCTTGACTTCTTTTTTTGTTGATAGAATATATCAGACTGGAATGCCCTTATTTTCAAATTTGATCTATTTTGTTTTTATGATAAATTTATTTTCTTGCAAAAGCTCTTAAAAAACGGTCTCCTATTTTAACCTACACCGGTTTATGTATAATTACAAGCAACAATGTATCGTTTATTATACTATATAGGTAACCTTCATTCATCACACCACCACCACTCAAATAGAAAAGATTTTTTTTCTAATCTAAAATGCAAAGCATCTAGCTCAACTCCGAATAACGATTAAATTCGAATATTTTTCTCGAGATATTTCTGATAGGTTTCAAAAGATAAGCGCAGAAATAAACTATTCAAATCCCTATCTGGACGGGCGTCCAGGGCTTAACATCATTAGAATAACAAATAGGTTCTTTCGATTCATATTTTTTGTCAGCAATCTATTCTCAATGCTAACCGTGTTGACAAAAGACTGTATTAGCAAAAACAAAAGAATAATTGATCAATATTAGATTCATTCATGCGGAATGATGTCAGCGTAAGTATATGATGCAGAAACAACCTTACTAAAATGAAGACAATTATCGATTATACCTGGAAAAAGTTGACGATGTTCTGCCGTCTAGTGGTGTCCTCTTTGTCGTTGTATGCTTAAACTTTTTCCTTGAAAACAAGACGAGAAAATGGAAATGGCAATGGAAGGAAAGAAGAAGAAGAATTACGAGTGATCAGACCATTCACCTGAAACAAGTGGCTGAGTCATGTGAATGACATTTCTTTTCTTTTCTTTTTTTCTCCCCTATAAATAATTTTTAATTTATAGATGCAATAAAAAATTTTTGCCTTTATTTGTAAAATAAAATGCCGCTTCCTCGTTCAGCTAAAGAGATACCAGCAAGTGATAGTGAATGTGGCAAACTATTTTCAAAGGAAGATCCAGAAAAACTGTTCGTTGATTTAAGAGAAATTGGTCATGGAAATTTCGGTGCTGTCTACTATGTATTTACATCGATTAACTGAAATTCGTTTTGTTTTTTTCTAAATAAAATAAATTTATATTTAGGCTCGAAACTCAGAAACGAATGAATTAGTTGCAATAAAAAAAATGTCGACTGGACGGAAACAAAATGCTGAAGTTTGCCCTATTAATAGAAAAAAAAACCGTTTTCTTATACTTTGTTTTTCTTCTTAGACATGGCAAGATATTCTTAAAGAGATTCGTTTTCTACGTGAATTAAATCATCGTCACTGTATTGCTTATCGTGGATGTTATTTAAAAGAATATACAACATGGCTTGCTATGGAATATTGTCTTGGTTCAGCCGCTGATCTTATTGAAGGTTAGTTTTAGAAAAAGCAAAGAATGATTTTGTTTTTAAATTTTATTTTAGTTCATAAAAAATCACTGGAAGAAGGTGAAATAGCTACAATTGTATGTGATACACTCAATGCACTTGATTATCTTCATTCAATGCATCGAATTCATCGTGATATCAAAGCCGGAAATATTCTATTAACAGAAGATGCTATTGTTAAATTAGGTAATTATGAAATATCTTTTTTCTGATATGTTTAATTTTGAAATTCGAAATAATTATTTTAATTAACTGGATAAAAACATCTGTTTGAATTGTTGATAGAATTCATTCCGAAGAATTACGCTTGATATTCATCCATTTTTATAATCTAGTTTATGAAAAATCGTCCCTAGTGCTGCGTCAAGATACTGGTTAAACAATTCATTTCGATTTCCTCAGTAGTAACTACACGACTAGTTGTACTCTAATTTCATTCCGATTGCGCTATAATGGATCGCTGAATAACTTTAAATCAGGTAAGATTATCTTGCAGGATATTATCGATTAGAGTCAGCAGACACAGTTACTTTCATCTATTGAACACCGTTAAGCATGTTTTTCTTTTTGAAAACAAATAAACATGCATTGATGAATGATTAACACATATATTTATATGTTTTACAGCATAAATATAATATTAGATAATTTGTAGATAACTAATAATCGAATTTTTCTCGAAAATGATTTTAAATGAATTTTCTTTTTTTTAGCTGATTTTGGTTCTGCGTCATTTTCTAGTCCAGCCAATAGTTTTGTTGGCACCCCGTAAGCCTTTTTAATTGGTTCATATTATATAAGTTCTATTTTATTTTGTTAGTTATTGGATTGCACCCGAAGTCATTCTAGCAATGGAGAATGGTCAATATGATGGTAAAGTAGATATATGGTCAGTTGGAATAACTTGTATTGAACTTGGTTTGTTGATTATTTGCCATAGAAACTTTTTTTTCTAATGAGACTTTTATAGCTGAGCGTAAACCACCATTATTTAATATGAATCCCATGTCAGCACTTTATCATATAGCACAAAATGAACCGCCAACATTAATGATGAATAATGAAAATCAAGAACCAAATTCCAATAGTACAACACCATTATATTCCAAGGATTTTGTTTTATTTATTGCCATGTCTTTACAGAAAAATCCAAATGATAGGCCAACTGCTGCTGAACTATTGAATGTATGAATTATCATTATTATTATTATTATTAAGATAATTTATTTTCTATTTAGACAACATTTATAACAACTAAGAGTAATCGTGAAATATTAATTGATTTAATACGACGAACAAAAGAAGCTGTTAAAGAGTTCGATAATATACATTATCGTCGTATGAAAAAGGTTCTTACGGGTCATGATGAACAAAACAGTATAAACACAAGTAGTTCATCTGTACCCACTTCAAGTATTACTGAATCAAATGAAATGATTATAATGGATATCGAGTGTTCAAGTCATACGCAATATCCAATGTTAGATGATGACGATAGTCGTAGTGCAGATTTTATTTCCGACAATAATCAAATCGATCCAGAAGATGATGCAAGTTTAAATTCGAGCCAATCAAGTCTTCAACATTCATCATTGATTTCACACAATAGTCTTCTCATTGGTCGAAAAATGTCCCTAACAGCTCAATCTATGCAAAATCAAATGACTGCGAATATCAGTCAAAGTTTTCCGCCAATTGATTTGAACAATGCAACTCAAATGTCTCTTTTTAATCCTTTGCCTCCACTTCAAATTGATATTGATGAATCGAATCATCCTTTAAGGATTGATGTAAGACTTGATAGATATTTTTTCTCTCGCTAGAAAAAGATTATACATAGAAAACTAAAGAAAAGAAAATATTTTTCAATAGTTTCGACTTATTAATGTTGAAAAATCTTGTTGAATCGAAATTCTTTGTGATAACACTTTAGACATTTTATTTTTTGGAGATTTCTATTTTCATCTCCATTAGTTACTTCATTGGTAATCGTTCATACACAATAATTTATCCATGCAGAGGTTCATATTAGTCTAATACACTGTCTTATCGTCATAAAACTCTTCTCTTTTCATATCCTATGCTGTATTTCTACCATTACTCGCTGAGATATGGGGGGGGGGGGGGGG